TCACAGTGCCATCTCTTTTCCGTACCCATCACAGTGCCATCTCTCTTTCCGTACCCATCACAGTGCAATCTCTTTCCGTACCAATCACAGTATCATCTCTCTTTCGTACCCATCACAGTGCAATCTCTTTCCATACCAATCACAGTGCAATCTCTCTTTTCCGTACCCATCACAGTGCCATCTCTCTTTTCCGTACCCATCACAGAGCCATGCTCTTTTCCGTACCCATCACAGTGCCATCTCTCTTTTCCGTACCCATCACAAAACCATGCTCTTTTCCGTACCCATCTCAGTGCCATCTCTCTTTTCCGTACCCATCACAGAGCCATCTCTTTTTTCCGTACCCATCAAAGTGCCATCTCTCTTTCCGCACCAATCACAGTGCCATCTCTCTTTTCCGTACCCATCACAGAGCCATCTCTTTTTTCCGTACCCATCACAGTGCCATCTCTTTTCCATACCCATCACAGTGCAGTCTCTTTTCCGTACCCACCACAGTGCCATCTCTCTTTTCCGTACCCATCACAGTGCCATCTCTCTTTTCCGTACCCATCACAGTGCCATCTCTCTTTTCCGTACCCATCACAGTGCCATCTCTCTTTCCGCACCTATCACAGTGCCATCTCTCTTTCCCGCACCCATCACAGTGCCATCTCTCTTTCCGTACCAATCAAAGTGCCATCTCTCTTTCCGCACCAATCACAGTGCCATCTCTCTTTTCTGTACCCATCACAGTGCCATCTCTTTTCCGTACCCATCACAGTGCCATCTCTCTTTTCCGTACCCATCACAGTGCCATCTCTCTTTTCCGTACCCATCACAGTGCCATCTCTCTTTTCCGTACCCATCACAGTGCCATCTCTCTTTTCCGTACCCATCACAGTGCCATCTCTCTTTTCCGTACCCATCACAGTGCCATCTCTCTTTTCCGTACCCATCACAGTGCCATCTCTCTTTTCCGTACCCATCACAGTGCCATCTCTCTTTTCCGTACCCATCACAGTGCCATCTCTCTTTTCCGTACCCATCACAGTGCCATCTCTCTTTTCCGTACCCATCACAGTGCCATCTCTCTTTTCCGTACCCATCACAGTGCCATCTCTCTTTTCCGTACCCATCACAGTGCCATCTCTCTTTTCCGTACCCATCACAGTGCCATCTCTCTTTTCCGTACCCATCACAGTGCCATCTCTCTTTTCCGTACCCATCACAGTGCCATCTCTCTTTTCCGTACCCATCACAGTGCCATCTCTCTTTTCCGTACCCATCACAGTGCCATCTCTCTTTTCCGTACCCATCACAGTGCCATCTCTCTTTTCCGTACCCATCACAGTGCCATCTCTCTTTTCCGTACCCATCACAGTGCCATCTCTCTTTTCCGTACCCATCACAGTGCCATCTCTCTTTTCCGTACCCATCACAGTGCCATCTCTCTTTTCCGTACCCATCACAGTGCCATCTCTCTTTTCCGTACCCATCACAGTGCCATCTCTCTTTTCCGTACCCATCACAGTGCCATCTCTCTTTTCCGTACCCATCACAGTGCAATCTCTTTTCCGTACCCATCACAGTGCCATCTCTTTTCCGTACCCCTCACAGTGCCATCGCTCTTTCTGTTAAACCCATCACAATGCCATCTCTCTTTTCGTACCCATCACAATGCCATCTCTCTTTCCGTACCCATCACAGTGCAATCTCTTTCCGTACCAATCACAGTATCATCTCTCTTTCCGTACCCATCACAGTGCAATCTCTTTCCGTACCAATCACAGTGCCATCTCTCTTTTCCGAACCTATCACAGTGCAATCTCTCTTTTCCGTACCCATCACAGTGCCATGCTCTTTTCCGTACCCATCACAGTGCCATCTTTCTTTTCCGTACCCATCACAGAGCCATCTCTTTTTTCCGTACCCATCACAGTGCCATCTCTCTTTTCCGTACCCATCACAGTGCAATCTCTTTTCCGTACCCATCACAGTGCCATCTCTCTTTTCCGTACCCATCACAGTGCCATCTCTCTTTTCCGTACCCATCCCAGTGCCATCTCTCTTTCCGTATCCATCACAGTGCCATCTCTCTTTTCTGTACCCATCACAGTGAAATCTCTTTTCCGTACCCATCACAGTGCCATTTCTCTTTTCCGTACCCATCACAGTGCCATCTCTTTTCCGTACCCATCACAGTGCCATCTCTCTTTTCCGTACCCATCACAGTGCAATCTCTTTTCCGTACCCATCACAGTGCAATCTCTTTTCCGTACCCATCACAGTGCAATCTCTTTTCCGTACCCATCACAGTGCCATCTCTTTTCCGTACCCCTCACAGTGCCATCGCTCTTTCTGTTAAACCCATCACAATGCCATCTCTCTTTTCGTACCCATCACAATGCCATCTCTCTTTCCGTACCCATCACAGTGCAATCTCTTTCCGTACCAATCACAGTATCATCTCTCTTTCCGTACCCATCACAGTGCAATCTCTTTCCGTACC